GGTCATTATAAAGCTTTATTTGTTAAGATAGGAGGATAGGACATATTTTATTTAACAAGGTGTTAGCTTGATCTTTAACTTGTACATTTTTGGATAGATGGTATATGGACATCATTTGAAATTTTGTTTTGAGTCTTACAAATATTAGGGATGATCTGAAAGTCACACTACCTACAAAGAAACAATGTGGACTGAAAGCTGGCTTCTTATTGCAAACCATTGATGCCAGAAGATAACAGAATAACACTTTCAAAATGATAGGGGAAGGGGCTGGGGGTGTGGCTCAAGCGGTAGCACGCTCGCCTGGCATGCGTGCGGCCCGGGTTCGATCCTCAGCACCACATACAAACAAAGATGTTGTGTCTGCCAAAAACTGAAAAATAAATATTAAAAAAAAAATGTTTATATTGGGCTGGGGATGTGGCTCAAGCGGTAGCACACTCACCTGGCATGTGCAGGGCGCTGGGTTTGATCCTCAGCACCACATAAAAATAAAATAAAGAGGTTGTGTCCACCGAAAACTAAAAAATAAAATGTTTAAAAAAAATGATAGGGGAAAATATTTGTTAATCTAACAATCAGTTAAATTAGCATTCAAAGGTGAAAACAAAATAAAGATAAACAAAATAAAGAATAAATAGTTGAGGAGAGGTTTTGAAAGCTAAACTAGTTTAATTGGTAGTACATATAAAATAGTCCTCATTTCAATATGGAAAAACAGTCACTATTTGTTCTTTTAAAATTTCTGACTCAGTCACTATTGTTCCTTAATTGTAAAATCTTATTCATTGATGGGGAAAACTTTATGAGAGCTGTTTCTTGTTATTCTTGTAAAACTTCATGAAAGAAAGATACATATGAAGATGTTAGGGAAAATCTCATTGACTTGGGGCTTTTAAATAAATGAGTCAGTCACCAATAACTATTTGCAAATAATTCTATTATCTTCAGTAAGTAACACAAACTAAAAAAAAAAAAAAGGCGCAGGCCCTGTCACCAGGGAGTTTACAATCTGAGTAGGTAAAATCAAGCTTTATAAACATATCTGAAAAATAACAGCTAGCCCAGGAGAGAGAAGGATAGGAATCTGGGATTGGTATATGTGTTCTGGTTCAGTGGCGGTGGGAAAATCTTGGAAGGCTTTCGCAGACTACATGAAATTTAGTCTAGGCTTTCAGAGGTAAAGTTTCATTAGTCAGAGAAAACTGGGGATTGGCATGAGCAAAAGTGCTGAAACAGCAAAAGGTTCTGGAGTCAGGAAACAAGACAGCTGAATAAGCATTGTGGAAAATACTGAGAAGAACCATTGAATGAATCATAAAAAGGACTGAAGTAAACCACGAAGGAGTAATTTTAAATACAATTTTCAAGATGACACTACCTTGAATTTTTATTTGATTTTCCTTCTTTTATCTCCCATTGATTTTTAAATGCAGCAGCTATAAATACAAAATATTAACTTTCTACAAGTTATATCTATGAATAATTCAGATTTTTCACTGCATCTACAATTTTATTTCCTGTACTTTCTCTAGCTTTAGAAAATTTTAAGAAATAAATAAATGAGTAAAAGGCCATATCAGCTGAGTGCTGGGGCACAAGTCTGTGATCCCAGCAGCTCGGGAGATGGAGGCAGGAGGATGGAAAATTCAAAGCCAGCCTCAGCAACTTAGCAAGGACCTAGTAACTTAGGGAGATTCGGTCTCAAAAGAAAAAATAAAAAGGTCTGGGGATGTAGTTCAGGGGTAAAGCACCCCTGGGTTCAATTCCTAGTACCGGAAAAAAGAAAAAGGCCAAATCATGTGTACTGCAAGACAGAATCACCATTCTGTTGCTTGTGTTTTAGGCTTTTGGTTTGTAATATTGAGTAATGATCTTAACAGAGCTCCTCATAGGCATGAAGCACTCCTCCAAGCCACGATTCGGGGACCAAGTGCCCTTCCCTTTTGTGGTTCCACCATCTTTAACAAAATGGTTCCCAGGGTCTTGCAAAGGGTTAAAAAAAAAAAGAATCACAATGGGAGATTGTGAACTAAGCCTAGATAGAGGTGGCAAGCAGGTCTTCCTCTCCTTTTCCAAGGGCTTCTGTCACAGGGCCACAACTAACTGCTAGTGAAGATGGGACATGTGGTTTAGCTATTTGCTAAGGAAGAAAAAGAAAGTTTGATAACTTGTTAGCCAATCTTTGCCATACATACATGTTTTTCCATGTAACCCTAACAACCCATAAAATATATACTATATGTTATACCATGTTACAGATGAGGAAAGTAAAATTTTCATGGACTGAATTCCCTACCTAATATCTCACTAATACATGGCAGAATTCAGATTCAAACTAGGTACCCTAACTCTGGAAATCATATTCCTAACAAAGCTAACTGCAGTCTGACTGATATTCTTTACTAAAGAAGAATATTTAGGTTTTCCTTAGTTATGAGAGAGGTATGACAATTTGAGGACTGTAATTCAATCAACCCATCTTTTAGAGATGAAGAAATTAAGATTGAGAAGTAGATTGTCTGAGTGAAGGTCAAATTATTGCTGTTCAAGTACCATACAAGGAAAAGTGACATTGTTTTAGTGAAAATATAATCTTGACAATCTAATAACTTAGGTCATCCTTTTGTGAACTTCCTTCCTTCCTTCCTTCCTTCCTTCCTTCCTTCCTTCCTTCCTTCCTTCCTTCTTTCCAGTGCTGGGAATCAAACCCAGGGCCTCTGCATGCTAAGCAAGTGCTCTACCACTAAGCTACACCCCAGCCCTGTGTCATCCTTCTAAAAGTTAATTTCCTAAACTATATGGTTTAATATATGCAAGTGTTAAGATTTGGTGAATAATGCAAGCATTAAGATTTTTTTTCTTGATTTTTTTTTTTTTTTTTGCCCTGAAAAAGAGGACGTTGCTATGCAGAGTGAGCCTGCCACCATGTGGTGTGGGCCCAGATCTAGCATCCATTGAATGTTTCAACCCGGTTTGTTTTGTTGTCACCAGAATTTTTACTAATCACTTTAGATTCAATTTTGCCTGATGAAATTTATACTCAGCTATGGTATTTCTATAGGCTTAAATACTTTTATTAAATGTCAAGATACGCTGTTTCTTCCGACTGTGAAATTCTTGCAATATTTCCAAATCTGCTGCAGGATTGACCAATATTTGAAACGCGACCCAAATACATTCACGAGAGAACCACGTCAGTGCTTCACAAACAAGGACAAAAACCCAGCAATTAGTAGGACCTATCCCAATCCACTCGAAAGTTACTCCATGAGCTCTGAGAAGGCAGAATTCCCAACCACACACATAGGTAGTATGAAGGACTGTTCAAAAATGGATGAAGCATCCTCACTGAAGGAACATCAGAATTTACGATCTACATGCACTCATGCAGCAAATCTCATGTGTAACCAAATTTCAAGAATCTGGCAATAAAAAATATAACTATTTTCCATGAATCATATTAATTTGTCTGTAAGAAAAACAAAATACAGAGCTGAGGATGTGGCTCAGTGGGTAGAGTGCTTGCCTAGCATGCACAAAGCCCTGGTTTCATCCCTAGCAGGACAAAATATAAAAATAAAACCCAAAACAAATAAATGACAGCTGCTGTTTCTATTTATTCATAATCTAATCTGAAGGGTCATCAAACTAAAAAACCTACAGAAAATATTACATTTAATAATAAAATACTAGAAGCATTACCACTAAAGACAGTGTGGTATTTGGTATTTTTTGCTTGTTTTTGTGTTGCTGGGGATGGAACCCAGGGCCTTGTGCATGCAAGTTGGTCGACCAACTGAGCTATACCCCCAGCCCAAGAGTTTATTCTTGAATGAATGCTACTGCATCAGGTGAGAACTGAGAGTTCTTATTCCTTAAGCGAAAAGGAACTCCTCAACACCTTCCAGCTCTAGTGGCAGAAAAACAGCCCTACTGGCTCAAGGTGTCAGAGAATGTAATTTGAGCAGCACAAGAGATGGATATTTAAGTGAGAAAAAATCTTTGAAAGCCACAGGAGGTCTGAGATTCAAAAGTTGAGTATAAAGTGCTCAAATCCCTGTGACTGCTAAACTACAGAGACACACAAGAGACCTCAGGAAGCCTAATGAAAAAACAGGCAGAAATTAGAGAGAAGTCAGCCTTCAGAAGACAGAACTGGCCGGGCAAGATAGTGCAAATCTGTAATCCCAGCAGCTCAGGAGGCTGAGGCAGGAGGATCGAAAGTTCAAAGTCAGCCTCAGCAATTTAGCAAGATCCTAGCAACTCAGCAAAACCCTGTCTCAAAATAAAATACAAAAAAGGGCTGGGGATATGGCTGAGTGATTTAAGTGCCCCTTAGTTCAATCCCCAGTATCAAAAAAAAAAAAAAAGAACTTGATGAAAGTGTGGTATTGCCAAGAGAAGAGGTAGGGAATCTCAGTAGAGAAATAAAAATGAGAAAAGGAGGGCTGGGGTTGTAGCTCAGTGGAGAGAGAGAGAGAGAGAGAGAGAGAGAGAGAGAGAGAGAGATATGACTGCATAAGAATGGGAGAAGGGTAAAATTTAGAGAATAGGAGTTTTTTTTTTCTACCAGATACAATAACATTAAAGATATTCATTAAACTAATATGATATTGGAAAAATCTACATTTAGAATCATGAAATAAAACGAAGAATGCAGAAACATCCAAACCCACATGTATTCAAATAAATATGTGAACTTAGTGTATAATAAAAATGATCTTTTGGGCTGGGGTTGTGGCTCGGTGGTAGAGTGCTTGTCTAGCATGTGCGAGGCACTGGGTTCGATTCTCAGCACCACATATAAATAAGTAAATAAAATAAAAATAAGGCACTAGGTTCCATCTCAGCACCTCCAAAAAATTACTTTTATTATTATTAAGATTTGTTTTTTATAGTCCAGCACATGATCTATGTTGGTGAATGTTCTGTGCTCCTTGATCTTACCCCTATTTGACAAGGCGGTGTTCTGTTCCAATGTGGAAAATAAGACCCACCTAGAAATGGCTGGCAGCATCCATGCTAAGAAATAGATTGCATGCTATCTTGAAGGTGACAGATTTCATTTACTTGAAGAATAAGAACTTGAAGGGCTGGGATGTGGCTTAGTGGTAGAATTCTTGCCTGACATGTTCAAGGCTCTGAGTCCAATCCCCAATGCTGCAAAACACAAACAAAAGAACATGAACTCTCCATCTTATCTTTTTTCCTGATTCCTATGTCCTATTTTCTACATTGTTCTATATATCCTCAGAGAGACACAATGAAATAAGGATGACTTTATTTTTACAGTACTGGGGATTAAACCCAGGCTTTGTGCATGCTAGGTAAGTTCAATATCACCGAGCTGCATCTCAGCACAAGTATGTTATTTTTTTTAAATTTAGAAAACAAGGAGTCCTTGGAAATTAGAAATACAATAACAGAAATGAACATCTTAATGGAAAGATTGAAAGGCAATGGTAAAAAATTTACCATATAAGGAAAAAAATATATTTTTAAAAATTAGAGAATAAATCATAGTACAACAACAAATAATAGAAGTTTCAGGAAAAAAGAGAACATAAAAAATGGAGAGGAGAATTCAAGATAATTTGCTCATAGTAGTAAGTAACAGAGTGAAGGGCCAATTAAGTGTCCTACACAATGGATGAAAACAGACTTCATACCAACCAAGAAATAGGAGTATAAAATTTCAGAATTTCTGGAAGAAAAGATTTTATAATCTTCCAGAGAGAAAAATGACATAGTCATTGATTAAGAGTCAATCCAGGGACTGGGATTGTGACTCAGTGGTAGAGGGCATGCCTAGCATATGGGAGACACTGAGTTCAATTCTCAACACCTTATATAAATAAACAAACAAACAAACTAATTAATTAATTAAATAAAGAACCATCAAAAACTAATAAATTTTTTTTTAAATGGCAGGGGTTGGGGCTGGGGTTGTGGTTCAGCGGTAGAGAGCTCGCCTAGCATGGGCAAGGTCCTGGGTTCGATCCTCAGCACCACATAAAAATACATAAACAAAATAAAGGTATTGTGTGCAACTAAAAAATTAATATTAAAAAAAAATGGCAGGGGTTGTGGCTCAGTGGCAGAGCACTTACCTAGCATGTGTGAGATACTAGGTTGGATTCTCAGCACCACATATAAATAAATTAATAAATAAAGGTTCATCAACATCTAAAAATAATTATATATATATATATATATATATATATATATATATATATTTTTTTAAGACTCAGTCTAGTCTGGCATTCTCAACAACAATAGTAGAAGCCAGAAAACAATGGACCAATATCTTCAAAGTTCTTAGGGGGGGATGACTTTCATTCTAGAATTTCATACCCAGCCAAATTATCAGCACTTTGTTAAAAGTACATCAAACTGTTGATCCTCATTACCTATGAGGATGGAAAAGGTTATGTAGTGGGTGAATTTAGGAATTTTTGCCCTGCAGACATTTATGTTGTTTGACTCTAATACAGCAACATGTTTCATCCTTACTTAAAGTTATGGTTTGGATCTAGAATGTCCCTTAGCTCACATTGAAAGCATGATCTCCAATGCAGTAAGGCTCAGAGATGGGATTTTCAGGAAATGATGGGATCATGAGGGCTCTAACATCATCAGTGGATTAATAATTTGAACAGACTGCTGGCTGGTAACTCTAGGCAGGTGGGACATGGTTGACTGGAGGAAGTAGGTCACTGGGTGTGACCTTGGATTATATCTGTCCCTGGCCCCTTCTTCGTTTTGCTTCCTGGCTGCCATGAATTGAATATGCCACTCCACCATAATGTTCTGCCTCACCTCAGGTATAAAGGAATGGCGCCAGCTGACAACAGATTGAATCCTCTGAAACCATGAGCCAAAACAAACTTTTCCTTCTCTTGTCATGTTCTTGTCATGTGTTTCGGTCACAGTGACAAAAGCTGGCTAAAACACTTACCCGGGGTTTTCAAACAAAGGAAGAGACTTGAATTAAATGCTGCACATTGTTGCACATGTTAATGGTAAATTTTTGTGGGAAATCTAACAAACTCTAAGTGCTGATTTGATTTTTTTTAAAACTACTCAATGACCTTACAACATCCTTCCTAATCAAATTGGAGGTTTGGTGTTTTGTTTTTCTTTTTCCTGCCAACTAAAAATACACTATCCAACTCAGGAAATGCGGCTGATTGAATAGCAGCTGCTGCTGAGGGCCTACTTTACATATCGAAACCAACCTTGGAAGAAAAATACCAAAAGCTCACTGTGTCAGCTCCTGTTTTGAAGCCAGCCTGAAGCCCGTCACACAGGTTTGTCTTGGCCTCCACATGGTCCTGCCTGCATAGTTTTAGGAGAAAGTCTCTTGCTACTCTTTCTTTCCTCCCTTAGTGCAAGGAAACTTCCTGCAAATACTGGAAAAGCTGCTTCAGTGCAAAGTTAACATTCTCCAGATCTTTTTTACGCTGGAAGTAGATCATCCATCCATTGCCAATTCCTTTTTTCCTTCATTATTGATGAGAAAAAGATCCAGTGCCAAGATATTTCTGCCTAGATGGGGAGAGAGAATAAAAAGATAGGCAAAAAAACTTTCCCCAGTTTTGCCATGTTCTTCACTTGGTTATATAAAAATATCATCACCAATAAAATAGGAAATACAAATAGCAGGAAAGTTCTGAAAGATGAGTTGTGCTGTAAGTAGAAAACACAAGGCACTTAATGTGACAGCTCAAAGTACAATTTTAATGCAAACTAGGATGTTTAAGAAGGATCTATATTCTGCTTATGTTTTAATCTATGTTGAATGCTGTTACATGGTATTCTAGTCTTCATACACAAGAACATCAAGGGCTAGGATGTAGCTCAGTGGTATAGTGCTTGCCTGGCATGCAAGAAGCTCTAGGTTCAACTCCCAGTATGGCAAAAATGGGGAAAAAAATGTTGATTCTGCAACATGGAGATGCATTTTGAGCAATTATAAAAGAAATAATGTGACAGAGCATGTAGAGTATTTCTCATAGCTGTGCAATAAAAAATTGCATTATAGGCTGGTGTGGTGGCAAGTTCAAGGTCAATCTGAGAAACTTAATGAGACCCTGTGTAAGAATAACAATAAAGCTGAGGGCAGGTCTGGGGATGTAGCTCAGTGCTAGAGTGCTTACCTAGCATAGGCAAGGATGTTCAGTCTTCAGTACCCCAAAACAAAACAAAATAGATTAAATAATAAATTATCCCAGGTACTACTAGGTTCCGATTTTGTCTCCCATAGTGCACATGTTGGCTACTTAATCCCCAGTGCAACTGTGTTGACAGGTGGAACCTCTGGGAGTGATTAGGACACAAGGGCAGAGCTGTCATGAGTGGAACAATGTTGGTTATCAGGAGAATGGGTTAGTATGAGTATAAGTTTGGGCGTCTTTGCTCTCTGCTACTTTCTTGCCCTTCTGCCTTCTGCCATTGACTGATTCAGCACAAAGGCCCTCCCTAGATGCTGACGTCATGCTCTTGAACTTCCCAGGCTCCAGGAAAGTATACCAAATAATTTTTTTTTCTTTATGAATTACCTAGTTTATGGTATTCTTTTGTTTTGTTTTTGGTACTAGGTATTGAACTCAGGGGCACTTTACCACTTGAGCTACATCTCCAGTCCTTTTTATTTATCATTTTGAGATAAGGTCTTACTAAGTTGCTGAGGCTGACCTGAAACTTGTGATCCTCCTGAGTTGCTGGGATTACAGGAATGCACCAAACACTACGCCTGGCTAGTCTATGGTATTCTGTGATAGCTACATAAAAAAGAACTGAGATATGGGATAATACAGATAGAAAAAAAGCAGATCTGGGGCTAAAATTCACATCTTAATTCTTCAATCTGTGTTTTTCCTAATTTACGATGAAGATTTACTGATAAAACCACACTGTTTTATTTGTAAGATAGCAGGTAGGAATTACTGTAGCATTCCCTCTGGTTTTAAAATTTTGGACTTGATAGCTGAGCACCGTGGCACACATCTATAATCCCAGGGGCTCAGGAGACTGAGGCAGGAGAATTCCAAGTTCAAAGCCAGCCTCAGCAACTTACCAAGGCCCTATGCAACTTGGTGAGATCCTATCTCAAAGTAAAAAAATAATAATAAGAAGGGCTGGGGATGTGGCCCAGTGGTTAAGCACCCCTGGGTTCAATTCCCAGTATAATTTTTTTTTCACTCAATGACCATGCAATAAGAGTAACAATATTTTGAGCATCGATCCTTTGGTTCATGAATGTGATGACTGAGTGTTCACACTATTGTGTGAGTCATGCCTCCCTCTAAACCTTGTTATGACTTCGGCACATTACCCATCTGATGTGAAAAAAAAAATTGAGCATATGAGATATACCTGCATGTGTGCATACACAAAGAAACAGACAGACACACATATGCTGTTAACCCAAGTTCAAAGACAAAGCTCTTGGAATACAGCATTGCCTGTACAGAGAATCTTCTATCATGGAACACAGTGAACGGGATTGCAGCAGACATTGTTGCCCACCCAACACCATCCCTGCTTTCTTCTTACTAAGACTAGCACTATTTTATCCAGATACTGAGAGGTGAGGGCAACATTCTCAGAGAAATTGAACCCAGCCTGACCATGCCAAGGAATTTCATTTCTCTTGGTCAATGAGATAAAAGGGGAAATTGGCAGCTTTGGGTGATATTTCCTTTTTGATTAAATAGATGCACACACACACAAACACACAACAAGAACACACCTTTCCCTTCTTCCTGCTCTTCAATTCAGCTGTGCGAGGATAAGATGTTTGGTGTTGCTACACCAGGGAAGGAAACATCACCTGTAAACTGATGGTGCCAAAGCAGAGAATGGAAAGAGATGGGCTCCTCTGTGACACTCTGCAGACCAACCCAGATCCACCTCCCTCCAGACTCACTGTCCTGGGAGAATGAGAAAACCTTCTTTGCACCCTTGCAGCTGGGTGTTCTATAACTTCTAGCCCAAAGCATCCTCACTCTGCCACTCTGAGTCTCAGCTCTTTTCTTTTATAAAATGATGACAATAACACCTGGCAGGGTGGTTGTGAGGAGGAAATGAAATAATAAAATGTCTAACATAAAGGAACTCAGTAAATGGCCGCTACTAACATCACAAGCATGATAACTATGATATAAAATCCTCAACAGTGGGAATGTTCTCTCCACTCTGTCAATCTCTCTGCGGCACCTGGCACATTTCCCCTACAACAGTGGCCTGGGGACAGTACACCCAGCTCCTACCTTCTCTACATGTTGAGGAGCTCAGCCATGGGCGCTTTAGGCCTGGGAGCCAAAAGGCCCAGCCCACAAGGGAAAGGAAAATTGAAATCATGTAACATTGAAGCATAATTGATAGAGCAACTTAACATACTGAAAGATCGAAGCAAGCCGTAAAACGTTCATTTCTTGGGTCCTAGAAATCCCAACTCCGCCAACACAGCCAACAGAAATGAACCAAGTGATCCAAAAGTTGATTCACAAAATCTTTAATTCAGCAGTTTTTTGCGGACTTGACAAGGGGGAAACCAAAACATTTCCCCTTAAAGTAGTGGAATGATGAAGCCAACACAATAACTTTTATTAAAGACTATGTAGGAGTAAGGCGATGTCATTTTTGACATAAATGAAAAATACATCCAATCAGAATACCAGAGTGTATGCACACTCTTCTTATCACCACCTGGAGCATGGCTGCGGTTAGGCTGGCTATAATTGGCATCAAGGGCATTGGAACACAGGAATTGAGGGACTGCCAATTGCTGAGGGCACCCTGGCTGTTTTCTCTCTTTACTAAGATTATTAGTGGTTTTCAAAACAGCCCAGCAGCCAAGTGCAGAGCTGGAGGTGCTGGGGGAAGCAAAGGGACCGATGGTCCCACCACCTAAAAAGCTGCACCCAGAGAAGGCATCTGAGGCAGAAGCCCCACACCCAGGACTCATGACCCAGGCAGCCATGAAGATGTACTGCAAAGACTACCAGCTCTGCAGACAACGTGAGGAAGCAAAGAGCGTATGAAACCTGGGAGGGAGGGAACTCAGGAATCCTTGCCCTTGCTTTTGCTGGGCAGATATTTCTGGTAGAATGTTTCCTATCGACTACTCTCTATGAATACTGTGTATGGCCAGAGTACTAGAAAAGCATGAGCAGACAGATTTCTGTCCTTCAAAGGAATTCTCTGGAGGGCCACATATCAGCCCATGAAACCAATTACCTTAGAAAAGGCACACAGCTACCACAAACACGTGTTTGAAAAGCATGCTAAAAAATAAGATAAATATATGTTTGCATACTGTAGGGCTTCTGTGTTTAGAATTAGGGTCTAACTTCGTGATTGTGACATGAATGCTTGGTAATTAGGAAGTCTCTGTGCAAAGCCACAGAATGCCTGACTGCTAGGAACTTTCTGTGCAAACATGGGACACTGGCTACTGGGAAACTCCTGTGCAAAAGCTTGGGATGCCTGGCCGCTCTACCAATGCTCTTCATGAGTGAGCCTGTTTCCCAGGCTTGGAATGCCCAGCAGCTTCCCCTTGAAGCTATTAGGATAACTACGCAGGTGCACTATCTGATTTCCATGGTCATGTCCTTGAAGGAAAGGGGACTCTGTGTTTGTATTAACTTGGACCTTATCTCAGTTAGCTAGCACTCAGGGTTAAAGGAATACTAGAACGTAGTCATGGTGATGGGTAATATATAACTTTTGGGGGGTTAATAAACACAGCAGCAGAGAAGAGCGGCCACCTTTGTCTACCACCTCTGTTTGCCTGCTTCTACACTGTGTGTGTGTGTCTGTCCTTTGTTCGCCTCTTCACAGGTTTTCTCCACAGGGTTCTTTACAGCATACTGTAAACATAAGTCACATATATTTACAATCAACTGTCTACTACATCCCGTGACTGTCAACTTAGGTCTTCACACATCCACATTCTGACTCAATTGTGAACGTGGAGTTCTTGCTGGTAGTTGACTTGCATGGTTTTCATGAATGCTCCATGGTCTGCTTCCATGCCACCCACCATGGCACAGGCCGCCAAGACAGTGTCGTGTTCCCCGATGGCCCACAGGACGCAGGTAGGAGCAGCCTCCCTGCATGAACGAGACCACATGTCGCCTTGAAGAAACAGAACTCACTGACTCAGAGGGCAAGAAGATGGACCTCTGGCTGTCACCAGGATGGCTTCTGGTTTGGGGTCTCTGTCCTCCCACAACTTTGGGTCCCTTATTAATTTCTTTCCCCCCAATTATGTCTTCCTCTACTGTTGGGCCCTAAAACACAGCAAGTCACTTTTTTTTTTGAAACAAATATTTTACAATGTCCATTTCCTTTTTTCTTCCCCTATTTCTTCTCCCTCCTCCTCATCCTTCCCTCACCCTCTGGAAGGGTTGGACTCAGAACCTCACACATGCTAGGCAAGTGCTCCCACTGAGCAACACCCCCAACTCTACAATGTCTGTTTCTTAAATCTAGAAATGCAAATTGTAAATGATAGAATCTACCTAGTACTTGCATAATCTTTAAAAAAAATCAGGATAATGATGTAACATAAGGAACAAATAAGAGGAAAGTAACTCAATAAGATGACACATAATTCTATATGTAAATGCTCAGACTCAATTGCACTGATAAAGCCATCACATTCTTGCATCTAAAGGCAGAACCCATGTGAGCATGATGCACCCAATACAGGGTTTTGCTGCATCTTACAGAAACTTAAATGTCATGCTTCTGTTCAAAGTGGTGCTATTGATGATATGATATTCTGAACAGTCCACAGTAAAGCTCCAAACAAATAAAGTGCAAAATTTCCACAATTTACATATGTTTCAGGTTGGTTGTGGGTTTTCCCCCAAAATGTTCATGTACTGGAGATTTGTTCCCCAACCTGGTGGTGATGTTGGGAGGTGGTGGAGCCTTAAAAAGTGGAGCCTAGAGGGAGGTAATTGGGCCCTGGGGATTAACGCTGTCTTGCTGAAGTTCTAGCCCTCCTGTGACTACAGCAGTGCTTTCAGAAAAGGTTATACATGTATTTTGTATAATAAGACCCTCATCCTTATACAAAATACATGTATGAAGATGTGAGAAAAAAAAAAGACTAGCATTACCCTGGATTAGGTAGAGAGAAGTGATGAGAAGGGAGGGGAGGGGAAGGGGGAAAGGAGGGACAGTAGAATAAAATAGACATTATTATTGCTGTGTGTATATACGTGACTGCATGACCAATGTGATTCTGCAACCTGTACACACAGAAAAATGAGAAATTATATCCCATCTGATTCAAATGTATGATATGTTAAGGTCATTGTACTGTCATGTGTAACTAATTAAATCAAAAAAAAAAAAAGAAAAGAAAAGGTTGTTATAAAGCAAGACTACACACAGTCATTTCCCTTTCCACTCCTCTGGCCATCTTGTGAGGCAGCCAGGGCACCCCCACTAGGATGCCAGTGCTATGCTGTTGGGACCCTCCAACTACCAGGAATGTGAATCAAATAAGCATCTTTATTTTATAAGCTATTCAGTCTCAAGTATTTTGTTATATCAATGGAAAATGGACTAAGATGATGTATTAAGTGCATTTCTGTAAAGCATAGTATATGTGAAAATCATGTGGAAAATAGTTAGTACTGGTATAAAATAACATTTGATTCTAAAATTAGATTTTTTTGGGGAAGGGTACTGGGTAATGAACCCGGGGCACTTTACCACTGAGCTATATCCCCAGCCCTTTGAAACAGGCTTTGCTTAGGGGCTTGCTAAATTGCTGAGGCTGGCCTTGAACTTGTGATCCTCCTGCCTTAGCCTCCCAGGTAACTAGGATTACAGGTGTGCATCACTGTGCCTAACTAGGTTTTCTCTTTCTCTCTTTCTTTCTTCCTTTTCTTTTCTTTTTTTGTTCTGGGGTTTGAACCCAGTGGTGCTTTACCACTGAGCTATACCCCCAGTCCTTTTTATTATTTTAATTTTGAGCCAGAGTCTTACTAAATTGCCCAGGCTGGCCTTGAACTTGGGATCCTCCTGCCTCAGTCTCCTGAGTTGCTGGATTGCAGGTATATAACACAATGCCTGGTTGGAATCAGGTAATTTTTAAATAGTGTTTTGTGTATTTTTTTTTGGTTGCTCAAAACATTACAATGATCTTGTCATATCATATTTCATACATTAAATAGTGTTTTCTTTTAATCACATAAATGTCTGGGATATTCAAAAGTTGAATTAAAAGTCAAGAAACATTCACTTGTGCAGAATTCTTCTGGGCATTATAAGATGTCTAGAATCCCTGCCCCCAGCCCCAGAGTTCCTGGAGCCTGCTCTAATCATACTCTCAAAGTATGTGAGTATTTTTAGCTACTAAGCCTGAGAGAACCACTGGGCTAAGTAGCTGAGTCGACCTGTGCTCTTTCCCCACCTTTCTCCATCCAGGAAAAACCTCACAATAGATATAAAAACCTGTAAACAGTCACAGAGCATGGTGGTGCGTGTCTGTAATCCCAGCAGCTTGAGAGGCTGAGATAAGAGGATCACAAGTTCAAAGCCAGTCTCAGCAACAGCAAGGCGCTAAGCAACTCAGTGAGACCGTCTCTAAATAAAATACAAAATAGGGCTGGGGATGTGGCTCAGTGGTAAAGTGGCTCTGAGTTCAATCCCTGGTACAAAAAAAAAGCAAGAAAAAAAAAGCACCTGTAAACAGTCATCCATAACCACATGGCACCTGTACAACCATGCCAAATTCAGATATATGTCTCAGGGCTCCACAGGTTTTCTAAGAAATTATAATCACAGATGTAGTTAAATTCTCAGAGATTTTTCAGCCTTTTTGATGACTGGAGCATTAATTCTTTCCGCAGTACCCTTGAAAGATAACTTTGATGTGCTCTGCCTGGCTCTGTCCCTCATTCACTCACTGGGGAGCTGCTGGAGGTAGGAGAGTTGGGGGGTTCCCAGGGCTGCTCACTGTCACTCCTCTGCCCTCCTCCATGGATTCCTCACACAGCCCTTGGTTGAGAACCTCTGGTGGAGAGAAGAGGGATTCAAGAGATTGCACTCCTCCAAGTATGTGACCACAGGGGGCATGGGGGCGGGGACCATGAAAAATAGATGCCTCCTATTAGCTTCTATGTGCATAGACTATGTCTGGGAAAAATACCTAAGAAACCAACCACGTTGGTTGTTTTCCAGGAAAGGACCCTCATGGCTAGAACACAGGAGTAAGAAGGACTTCCCTGATACTATGCCCTTTAGTATCTTTTGAATTCTGTATGAATAGCCTGGAAATATAAGTAAATCAAATCTGAGTTTTCAAAGAAACAGTCTGTTCTCTCTCTGCTTCCTGGTTGTCTTAAACCATGCAGCCTATCTTTTCTCCACTGTACCCTTCTGCCATGATGTTCTGTCTTACCTCAGGCCCAACACCATGGAGCCAGCTGATCCTGAACTGAACCCCTGAAACCAACAAACATCCTCAGAACCAAGCTATCAAGTGATGAAAATGCCAAGATACATTGAGAGACCAACTGAGCTCCCAGTCAAAACAAGGTGAACTCTCAGCAATGTGAGTGGAAAAATATCTCGGATGTTTAGCCATGTCAACCTTGGAAATCTTGTTCCAGTTTTCAACTGATACGGTTATGAAAGGCTCCAATCAAGAAGTGTCCGTTGGGCTAGGTTGTGGTTTAGCAGTAGAGCGCTTGCCTACCACATGTGAGGCTCTGGGTTCCAACCTCAGCACCACATGAAAATAAATAAATAATATAAAAAGTATTGTGTCCAACTACAACTAAAAATAAATATTTAAGAAAAAAAAAAGAAATATCCATTGGGGCTGAGGTTGTAGCTCAGTGATAGAGTGCTTGCCTACCACATGTGAGGCACTGGGTTCTATTCTCAGCACCACACAAAATAAATAAATTAATTAAATAAATAAAGGTATTGAGGACATCTACAACTAAAAAAAATATTTTAAAAAAGAAGCATCCATCTAATCCTAGGCAATTCAAGAAACCCAATAGAAAATAATATTTTTTTTTGTTTTTGCTTTAAGCCATTATGTTTTGTAGTATGTTATACAGCAATAAACAACTGATCAGGTTTTTATGCACAGTTACCCACCATCACAGCTAATGTAATGCTTTATATCAGCTAGACTTGTGTGGCCCATCTCTGACAACTGTTTAAAATTTGTCACCCAAGATTCTACTCTAACATGAACTATAATCATTATCCTAGTATTTCTCAAGTATTTTGGATTTCTCAACCGCAAACATCTCAAACTTAAATCATTTACCCTGCTCATCATAAAAAATAAATAAGTAAAATGAGCTGGGACCGTAGCTTAGCGGTAGAGCACCTGCCTAACATGTTAGGTCCTGGGTTCCTTTCTCAGCACTGCATAAAAATAAATAAATAAAATAAAGGTATTGTGTCTCACTACAGCTAAAAATATTTTTTAAATAAATAACAGACCCAGTCCTTGGGGAAAAGCCATTAATTTGAGCATTGCAAGTTGAGAAAGTGAGAGATCAGAGAAAGATGTGGTCACAGGACGAACAGAAAGGTGAAAGCAGTTATGAAGCTCAGGAAAAGGAGGCTGAACAAGACGACTTTGTGGGCATTTCTCCACCACTTTGCAGGGGAACAAAGTTCCTGTTCTTGCACTCTTCTCCTTTGGACCTATCTATAGAGAAGATAAAAGTAATCAGTGGGTTCTGTCCCATGATAAATAATCTCTTAAAAAACCACTAACTTCCCATCATTTCCAAACAAGCTGTTCAGACATCGTTTCCACAGTTGACTTAGTTAATAACCTGTGAGCTCCTCTACCTGCTCCTCCTTCCTCTCCTCCAGATAGACTGCACAGAAAACCAGCCCCAGATGTTGAGCCAAACAGATCCCTGGAGATGTGGTAAGTAGCAATCTTCATTATAAACTGCTTTGTGCATGTGTCGTGGGTGGTCATGGCTTGGCCAAAAGGCCTGGCTACATATAAGAATTGACAAAAGTATGTTTATAAATTCATACTCTGAACCATGAGGCTCTCTATTCGGGGACCTTCTTAGGATGCCCTGGGGACAGTAGAGGTGGGGCCCAAGACCCTTGTCTTTCCTGATATGTGTGAGCCCCTCAGAGCCCCTCTTTCTTTTTTTTAATATTTATTTTTTAAGTTTAAGTGGACACAATATCTTTATTTTACATTTATTTGGTGCTGAGGATTGAACCCAGTGCCTCATGCATGCTAGACGAGCGCTCTAGCACTGAGCCACAACCCCAGCGGCCCCCCTCCCCAACCTCTTTCTTTTTCCAGGTCTGGAAGCCGCAGTCACAAGCCCTCAAAGGTGATCACACTCCACATGTACCAGCCACACTCTGATTTTGATGGCTGTCTGTTCCTTCTTGAATAGTACCATCCCAGGGCCAAGTGCCAGGTTTTGGGCTCAGTACTTGTGCTTTAACTTACTTAATCCTCCCAATAACCCTCAAGTTAGGTATTACTGTTACAGCCATTAATCCCATTTTATAAAGTAAGAAGGTGAGGCTTAGAGAAACTCAGGAACATGCTTGAGGTGACACAGCTAGTAAGTAGCGAAGGCCAGATGTATCCCCCAGGTGGTCCAAGATCAAGGCCCACTGTTATTCTGGGCTCCATGTTGTCTCCCCAGGGAAGCAGCCCTCCCCAGGCTCCCCAGATGGGGGTGTCCACCCTTGTTGGGCTAAAGGGATTGAGGTCTGGGTCTACACAGGAACTCAGGCCACACAGGCTTTTGGGAACAACTGGAGTCAAAGTAACCACTGCTTTTCTAGCATTCATCTTCCTTGCCTAACGTAGGATCTTGGTCTCAGGAAAGCTCCTTCACACCTGGGGAGGCCTGATCTCCATGGCAGTGTTCCCAGCTCCTCCCTCTGAATGCCTGTCTAGCCCCTGGAGGGTAGAACCTCCCTAAGACTCCAAGATCAGTGCCACAAAGAGGCCTCCCAACACCCTGTAGGCTGTCTATGTGGAATCTTTGGAGTGTGGTTCTGCTCTCCCAGTGGATTCTGAGTAACTGATTTTTTTTTTTTAAAAATTCTATTTCATGGCAGTGTCATCTACTATTCAAGGGAGACATAATGTTACTACTCAAGAAAAAAACCAAGCGACAATTTTAATCACCTACAGTTCCACCACATTAATGTTACCTTTTAATTTCTGTGATTTACCTTCAGTACCTATTTTTTTTTCTTTGCGCAGCACTTTAAAGCTTGTATGGTTCTGTAAACACAGATGACAAGAAAAAGCTTCTCCAACTCTGTCCACAGGAAGACCTTCTTCAAAGTATACCAATATTTATTTGGGAATAGCTGATCATTGCAATGGGAACATGTGCTTACTCAAGCAAGTTGAGGTAAGGAGAAGTTTTTAAAGGCAAAAATGCAGAGGATTACATAAAATATTTTGAAATAAGAAAACTTGCAAGAACCAATAACAAGGATGGTGTCAAAGATTAAGTAGGCAGTTGCTGGGTAGATCTGTCCTTGCAGAAGTATTTTTTGTGTAAGGTTGTGGTTCTGGAAGATTTTTTGGGTGTGTGTGTGTGTGTGTGTGTGTGTGAATTTGTGGTTCTGGCAGTTTTTTGTTGTTGTTGTTGGTGGTGGTGGTAGTGGTGTGTGTGTGTGTGTGTGTGTGTATTTCTTCTCAGATATTTAAGCATAAATGTCTGATAAGACATTCTGTCTTCTTTGTCTATTTATGTATTTATTTATTTATGGTTAAGTCTTGACAATAGTGACTCCTTTTGATTCTGACAACTTCTACAGTCCCAAGCAAATAGAAGAATCTCCAGGTACCAGAAAAACATTGATGCATATCCTGGAAGAAGAAGGTCTGACTTTCAGAACCCTCCCTGAGATCACAGGACTATGAGGGGAAGAGCAAGAGCAGGCAGCTGAAGCCTGGCCTGGTAGGACACCTCCCTCATCCTAGCTATCCAGGAGGCTGAGGCAGGACATTGCAAAGTTTGAGGCCAGCCTGGGCAACTTAGACTCTGTCTCAAAATAAAGTAAAATTTTGAAAAGGGGTGGGGGTGTAGCTCAGTGGTAGAACACTTGCCTAGTATGTATGAGTCCCTGGGTTCAATCTTCAGAGCCACAAAAATAAACAAACAAATAAATAAATAAATAGGAAGGCAGCTGAACCTACAGACTTTTTCAGGCATAGGATCTGAGTTGCTGTGAAACATTATTTGTGGCTGGGCCTGATTCCACTAAGAGCTGAAGAGCTGCAGACATCTCTGTGGCATGTCCCCAGTAGGGAAAGGAAGCAGAAAAAGGAGAAATTGCAATAGCCACAGCACTTCCTTCATGTCTCATTCTTGGGACATGCCTGACCAGCAGACAGCAGCTCCATGGTAGAAGAGAGCCCCAGAGGAGGAACATTCTGCTGCCATCTAAAGATAACACTGAGGTAATTTTAATTTTCACTCTTCTCCCTTTCGCAGGAGTGAAGAGAGGCATCTTATTTTCCTCCAAGGCCACTAATACACCCTCTCAGAGGTGAGATGTCCCTTTTCCTATCCTACCCATGTTTCTCCTAACTCAGGGACAGGTCTTCTATCTTTGTGTGAGTTCTTCTAAAAACAGGTGAAGTGTTCTGGAGGGCATTTGCCTGGGTGAGTCAGTGGAGGAAACCAGTTGGCAGCAGAGTCACAAATTTGCCCCCAGATAGTGGTTATAAATAGTCACTATTGACAGGACCGTGCTGGGCCTGTGGGGTGGGGGTGTCCAAGGTAGAGGAAGACGCAGGCCTAGCAGGGCCTCTTTACCTTGCAAGGAAACCACAGAGCTGTCACTTCCGGGTTTAGGCTTAAAGGAAGCAGAGAGGTCAGAGGCCACAGACTAGCAGACATTGAAATCCTCTTTCTGTAATTTCGACTGAACTAGGTCTAAGTGGAACTCCATTTCCCCCTCTTTGCTCTAACTACTGAGGAACGTGAGCCCACGTTTTGTGTCTTCTAGGAGGCCTCACACTCTCCTCTGAAGCAGGCCCCAGCCATCAGCCAGCTGGTGGGGACCCACGCTCCCTCACTTCCTGGCCCTTTCAACCTTGGTCCTCCTGTAGAGCAGAAGCTCATCTCGGTGCCTGTGGGGGTTTGTATTCCTTCAGAAAATATAAAGCCTTTCGCGCTGGGACTTAGCAGTGGCCACCATGGGGTCTGTGAATTTCAGAAGTCACAAGGCAGAAGCCCAGGTGATGATGATGGGCCTCGACGGGGCCGGCAAGACCACCCTCCTGTACAAACTGAAGGGCCACCAGGAAGTGGAGACCCTGCCCACCATAGGTTTCAACGTGGAGCCTCTCGAGGCTCCTGGGCATAAGTCAGTGATCCTCTGGGACGTTGGGGGCCAGGCTCAGCTCAGGGCAAGCTGGAAGGACTATCTGGAAGGCACTGAGGTGCTCGTGTACGTGCTGGACAGCACTGATGAAGCCCGCTTGCCTGAGGCTGTGGGTGAGCTCAAAGAAGTCCTGAAGGACCCCAACATGACTGGGGTCCCTTTCTTGGTGCTGGCCAATAAGCAGGAGGCCCCGGATGCCCTCCCCCTGCGGGAGATCAGAAAGAGGCTGGGCCTGGAGTGCTTCGCAGACCGCGGCTGGGATCTCCGGGCCTGCAGCGCCCTCACTGGCCAGGGGCTGCCCGAGGCCTGGAAGAGCCTGCAGGCTCTGCTGAAATCCCGCAGCCGCCTGTGTCTCCAGCTCAGAGGCGGTGGGGCCGGGCACAGGGACCACAAGAAATCCTGACCAGGCCAGAGCAGCTTATCTTGGCTCCTGTGAGCCGGAAGAACCAGCTAATCCTGGAGCCACTTCAGCTCCGTTTATCAAACCAGAAGTCTTTCTATTCTCAGACGGGATACTTTCTTCTCGGGACTCATTTTCAGTGGTATTTATGTTGAAAAATCTTTGAATAACAATTTTGTTCTTTGAATAATGGTACTCTAATAAAAAAAAGAAAACCGTCAACATGTTTCATTGAATAGCTCATTATCAAGTGTGAATGGAGCAACAAGTGGTCACATAAAGGGAGATGTAAGTTCAATAAAAGGGAGAGGTTTCAAGATCAAATTTGAGAATCATCTGGACACATTTGCGGTCATTATGAGTGATTTTCCCTGATGGCCTCTGGGTATGTGCCACTATCCTTCTTGGTACAAGTAGCCAGAGCAGGTGGGTTGGCTGCCACAGATTCTGCATTATAGAAGTTCACTGGGGCCCCCAGCCCTGAGCAAGCAGCTGTGAGTTAAGGGCTTCCAGAATTCACTCATCTTTCTGACCCAGATTAAACCATTTCTACCCTTTATCATCCTGTGTAGATCTTTTTCAAAATCCCATTATGTATTTTCTTCTTTTTTCCTTCTCTTTTCTCCTTCTTGTAACACATAGTCTTTCCTTAAAGATCAGATCAATTGTTTCATTCATTAAATAAAAACTAGGGGGCTGGAGTTGTGGCACAGTGGTAGAGCACTTGCTGAGCATGTATGAGGCACTGGGTTTGATCCCTGCACCCCATAAAAAAATAAAAAAATAAAGGTATTGTGTCCATCTACAACTTGAAAAAAAAAACTATGTAGAGTGCTTAATTTGTGGTAAAAGACAATGGAGCATGGTGGTGCACGCCTGTGATTCCAGCTGCCTGGGAGGCTGAGGCAGGAGGATCTCAAGTTCAAAGCCAACCTCAGCTTAGTGAGGCCCTAAGCAACTCAGCAAGACCTTGCCTCAAAAAAAAAAAGTGGGGGTTGGCAGGAAGGGTCTGAGGATGTCAGTGGTTAAGCACACCTGGGTTCAATCTCCAGTTCAAAAAAAAAAAAAAAAAAAAAGACAAAGGAGCTTTTAGATGTGAACCAAGTGCTTTAGAGGAATTATGAATTCTGAAAATAGGGATGACTGCAGTGCCTTCCCCCTTTGACGGATAGTAAAATGGAAAGTTGAACACAGTATTCTAAAAGGATTTTTCAGGTGTCTGTTACCTGGGATCCACAAAAGTCTTGAGCTTATTTGCAAAATGTTATGCTTTGGGCCATTTTTCTAGGAAAACCATAACTTTTGTCAGAATTTCAAAGACATCTGTGATTCCCAGAAGTAAAGGATCAATAATCTGGCTTTATCCTTCATCCGATCCCAGAATGCATTCTGTTATCTGAGTTTTTTAATGGCAAGAAGTATGCATTTGACATCTGTTCTCAAATGAAACAGCCTAAATGTTAGATGGTCCTTGGATCCTGCATTAAAATTAGCTTCCTAGCCAGGCATGTTGGCACACACCTGTAATCCCAGAGATTTGGGAAACTGAGGCAGGAGGATCCAAGTTTGAGGCCAGTCTCAGCCACTTAGCAAGATCTTGTCTCAAATGAATAAATAAACAAACAAACAAATAAAACTGGGCATGTAGCAGAGTGGTAAAAGTGCCCTTGGGTTCAATCTTCAGTAACATCACCTTGCAAAAAAGATCAGCTTTCGGGGCTGGGGATGTGGCTCAAGTGGTAGTGCGCTTGCCTAGCATGCGTGAGGCACTGGGTTCAATTCTCAGCACCACATAAAAATAAAATAAAGGTATTGTGTCCACCTAAAACTAAGAAAAAAAAAAAGATCAGCTTTTTTATAGCTCCTGATGATGGCTCTGTCCTCTTTGGAGCATCACAATGTAAGTTGGACCTCAGTCCCCTCTAACATCTGAGATCTTTTACCCACATTCCTCCCTTCTACCAGCTTTGGCATGCCTTGTTCTTTCTACTCTTCGTCAATCAACATACTTCATTTCTTCTATTAGACACGAAGGATGAAAAGATGAATGAGATAGGGCCTCAGGTCTCAGGGAACTCTGGTTCCAGATACCTAGTGCTGGCGCTAGGCTCTGTGCTTGGTGTCTTACAGAGATCATCTCTCATTCTCACTCCCTGCAAAGTGGGCATTATTCCCATTTTATATAATTAGAAACAACTGGAATTCAAAACCAAATAGTTCTATCCCTGATGCCTGCATTCTTCCACATCATGCTTCTAGAAGGTTTAAGCAGGGAAGGCCTTCCATCAGCAGATGGGCTGGGGCGGGGGGTGGACATTCTAGTCAAAGGGAAGAGACAGCACAGAAGCATGGGGTGGGTGGGTGCGGGAAGAATAAGTAAGATGGTGTACCTGAAACAGGGGCTTGGAGTGAGGAGGGAGAAGGTGATGTTGTAATAGGAGATGAAACTGGAAAGGAAGTTAAGGTCCAAGTTGAGAAGGCTGTTTGGACTTTCATATTTTAGGAGTTTGGCTCAGAGATGCAAAAATCATGGAGCTTTGTTTCCTTTAGGAGGATAAGTTAGTGGGGGTGTGGGGGTGAGATAAAGAGAAAAGGGGGAGATGGGAAGGCAGGGAAACCAGCTGGGTGACCATCGCAGAATAGAAGAGAGGCAGAGGCAGAGAGGAGAAAATTGAAGTTATTTTTAAGGGAAGGAGTTGAGAGAGGAAGAATTTGGAGATGGTTCAAGACCTTGATCCTGCATGAAAGGAGGGATTGGAAAGCTATGAACGGAGAAGGTGAGAACAGAAGGCAGCCGGGGCACCAGGAAGTGCAGCCTGGGAGGGCTGGACCGACCGCTGTGCTCTGTTTGAGATGTGGGGTTTGCATTCGGTGACAGCTTCTTTCAGATCATCCAGAATGTGAGCCCCTTGAGACGCTGAGAACCTGTGGAGGCAACTGCAGGCTTCTGCTCATGGAGGCTCATTTTCTCATGTGATGTGTCGCTTCTTTATTATGAGCTCATCTTCAGTAGGAGTTGCTTTTCCTGTGTGACTTCCATGTGCCCTGGGTTGTGACAGTGTCTCTACAGAGTAGTTTTTTCCTTAGCATCTCTTGGATCCCAGAGATTTTAATTGTTTTAGACCAAATATAGTGTTGGTTTTCCCCATTTGGGATTCTGGATCTCATGGGTAGTAGAATTGGGACTCAGCACCCATTCCACAGGTCCCAGAGGGTTTATTTCTGACAGGTGATATGTATCTTTTCTTTGCATCTATGACCCAAGTCAGACAATTTGCTTCCTCAAACTTCCCTGAGCTGGTGGGCCGCATTTTCTGACCTCCTTTTAAGGAAAGCATCTCTTTGGTGCTCTTGTTTTTCTCCTCAGCTCAGATCAACATCTTCTCTCCTCAGAGCAAGCCAAAGGCCACAGCTCCAGTTCCCACCCACCCAGGTGTCATAACCTTAGCCAGGCCCTGGAGCCATTGGCTCCTCTAAAATCTCAGCTTACACTTAACTGCTTTGGCTGTGGGTTTCCTCTTCATTTCCTTCACTTGAGGATTTCCTTTTGTACAAAGATGGTATACTTTTTTTTTTTTTTTTTGGTACTGGGGATTAAACCCAGAGGCACTTAACCACTGAGCCACATCCCCAGACCTTTTTTTGTATTTTATTTAGAGAGAGGGTCTTGCTGAGTTGCTTAGATCCTCCCTAAATTGCTGAGGCTGGCTTTGAACTCACGATCCTCCTGCCTCAGCCTCCCAAGGCACTGGGATTATAGGCATGTGCCACTGAGCCTGGTGACATTTTAAATTTTTTTTTTTTTTTTTGCTATAGTTTACTGAACAACCCTGACTTTGTAATGGGAAAGCTGTAATCTGTGTGGCTAGACGTCATGAACTTGTTTTGCTGGGTGGCCAGGAGCCTTCTCAGATACTGGCATCAGGGCAACCTGTTAGCTCTGTGCCCAGGAAGAAGCTGTGCAGTGTTTGGAAGGAGGGGGAACCTGAAGGAAGGGAGACAGGGCAGAGGAAGACCAGGGGTGTCTACTGATGGAGGTCCACCCTATTGACACCATTGGTCTGCACAGATGGTCATCACAGCTGCCCCATCAAGCCATGGGCAGTCTTTTCCCTGGTCTTTGACACTGCCTCTACGTTACCCAGGTCAGTCTCCTCCCTGACCTCAAGACACCCCATGCTAGTCCCCCATGTGTGCGGCTTGCAGGAGGGCCAGTGGGTAGCTCTGAGTACTGAGCGCTTCCCTGAAACCCGCAGTCCTAGAAGGCAGACAGATGCTCTTGGTCCTAATAAACCCCAGGGAGTCTCCTTTCATAATTCCCTTCAGATAAAATTTCTGGAAAAGAACAATAATAGCAAAATATAATAACCACGCCCCGGCAGGTTTACCATAGCTCCCTGCTGGTCCACCACTGCTTAGAGGGACTGAATGTCCAGTCACCCACATAGCATTACCTAGTCTGCGGTTCTAGGCTATTAATTATACCGTTCTCTGGACGAAGATGAAAGGTAGGTCTGAGAGTCCAAGGGCAGCTCTGCCAGCCTTCCACTCATCAACTGGTGAGGGCAGGCCATGTGCACCCTCTTGGAATATCTTTTTTTTTTTTTTTTTTTTTTTGCAGTACTGGGATTGAACCCAGGGGACCTTTAACACTGAGCTACATCTCCAGGCTTTTTTTTTTTTTTTTTGAGACAGGTTCTCACTAAGTTGCTGAGGCCAACCTTGAACTTGCAATCCTCCTGCCTTAGCCTCCCAAGTTGCTAGGATTATAGGCATGAGCCACTGTACCCAGCCCTTCTCTTGGGGTTTCTAATGTCCTCTGTATGTATGCTATGACGTGTCAAGCTACCATGTTGGGGGCTGGGGTGGGGAAGTCAGTCCTTAGAGTGATGGTAGTATTGGCAGCAGTTCTGCAGGGCACACAATTTTAGGAAGCCTCACACCTGGCCTTCCATAGGCTTATGTTGTTTGCCTGTCTGTACCTCCTCGACAGATCCCACCCACTATTTCAGAATCCCCAGATCTTACATCACCAGAAAATCTGGCCTGCATATTCCAACCTATGTCTATCCTCCCCCTGAACAAGTCCTGTGGTGCTGACTGTTCTCAGTGTCTCAACCGGGCTGTTCAACAAGTGATATATGAGGATGGTAAGGGGCTGGCTCTGTGGTAGAGCACTTGCCTAGCATGTGTGAGGCACTGGGTTCGATCCTCAACACCAC